AAGGGTAGGAAGCCACGGGGAATTTAAGGAAGAAAAGCCTGACGAACAGATTTCTTTGCAATGTGGGAAGGCTGGCAGTAAGTCATAGTAACAGTAACTATGAAAGACTTGGCTATTTCAGTTCTGCTGACTGCTTTATTATGAACAAGCTGTTAGCAGAGTCCATCTTAAGGCTGCAGAACTACTTCCAATGTTTAAAACCCTCATCTGAAGGCCAAGAAAGTCACAATGAACCAGCTGAGACTAAAATTTCCTGAGCTGGGGTTGCGCCTCAGGCTAAATTTGTTTGGGAACATTCAGCCAAAAATTTTTTAATCCCTTTCTAATGGCTGACATGGTTCTTAGAAATCCATTGTTTATCTGACCTCCTCCTAACCCATTAGAAAAATTTCTGGTGATATTTTCCTTTCTCAGTTTAATGCTTTGAAGCATTACACGCGAAATTTGGCAGGAGGCAGCTTTCTGTTAGGAAGACACATTGCACCAGCTCTCTAAAACTGTGCTCAAACTTGGCCATGTTACAAGCACTTGAAAAGCCAGTTTGCATGTGCTTGGAGAGTTCTCAGTTTTTCAGCTAAAATTCCCCAGAGATGTCTGAACAGAGCAGGTGGTGGTTATTGCCAGCTGCCAGGGGCTGGCAGGGGTGAATGACAAGTGTGAAGCTGCTCTCCTCCACTCACCCCTTGCCCCTTCCAGCACTGAAATGGTCGGGAGGAGACACTGAGTGAAGGCAAAACAGGTGAAAGAGAGATGGTGAGCTGAAAAATGAGGAGGAAGGATGAAAAAAGGCTGGACTGGGTGGGAGACCATGCTTTCTGGGCTCAGAAGAGGCCACTGAGGAGGAAAGGTTTCTGGGGTTTTCACCAGCTCCAGCTCTGCTGTAACCTGGGAGACAGACAGCCAGGGAATGACAGCAGCAGGCTTCACACTGCCCAAGGCTGTTCCAAGACGCTTTGCTCCTGCAGAATGAAACATTGCTGAGGTTTGGGTCCATCTAATGGTGTTAGAGGGAAAGCAGTCAGCCTGCTGCAAATTGGATGAAAAATTCCTGAAAGCTCAAGGAAATATTCATGCTATGTGAGCAGTGCTTCTTGATTGGCTCCAGTATTGAAGCCAAGAGGGAGGGAAGGAAGGGTGTTTCTTTGCACATTGAAAGATTTTCACCTCACCCCTATGAAGAAATGAGTATGTGATGCTGGGTAATCACTGAAACAGCAGGTTTCTTAAACAGGTACTGAACTGTGACCTTCATGTTCAGGGTGCCAAACCTGTGATCCTGCAGGAAGACCTGCAGAAGCCACTTGCAGCTCCAGTTGGCAGCTGGGCACGGGTCCTGGACAGCTGTGTGTGGCAGCTTCTAGGCTTTTCCTATTGGGTACCAACACTTAGAAGGTCATTTGCCTCCACTGGCAGCACCTCAGAGAAATGCTGTGAGTACAAAAGACTGCCTGCTCCAAACCCATGCAGTCACTGATGACCACTGTGGAAAAGCCCATCCCAAACATCCTTATGGGCAGGGTGTGAACAGCAGGTGGCAAAATTGGCTGGTAAGCCAAATCCTGCAATTCAAACAGGCTTAGTAAATTATCATCATCTATTCTGTGCACTCAGTAAAGGGAGGGTCCTTCAGAGAAGAAACATAGCATGAGATTATAATTAAATATGATCTTATTGACTACATGGACAAACAGGCTCAGTTAAAATTGCCAAAAAAAAAAAAGAAGGAAACTCTTGCATGATCTTACTTCTGGATGCTTTGTTTTGCAATATTAATAAGTCTTTTTTTTAGAGCTGCCTTTCTGTTTGCATTGCAGGTTCTCCAGTCAAAGAACAGTGATGTCTGCATGCAACTTCTGTAATTTCACTTAGCTCATCTCATAATTGACTGTGCACAGTCAAAGACATGCACCCGGCGCAGCAGGGTGGCAGCTATCTAAAATTAATATGTATGCATTCAGAGCAGTTTTTCCCCCCCCACTTGAAAATTGCTCAAAATTTACTTTCTTGAAAAGAAATGCAAATGAATGTATTCCATTCTTCAGAAGGATAATTACCCTTTTCTCTTTCTCTCTCTCAAAAAGAGATTTGTTGTCTATTGTTTCTTTGCTTGCTTTGAAAACTGTTCTTTTGAAATTAGAAAGCTCTAACACTTACTCCAGTCCTTTGCAGGAATGGCAAGTCCATGCTGTAAGCCAGAAGTGGAGGAGCTGTCTAGTTTGCAGTCTGAAGGGGGTAGAGGAGAAGATAATTTACACAGGGATATTTTGGAAAGGTGTAAACTGGGAGGTGTGTGTCTGTATAGTTTTCTGTTCTTAAGCTGTTGAATTTCTCAGGTTGCAGCTTTGTTGCCTTATGCCAAGGCTGAGCCACAGGAAGCAGAGCAGCTGGAGAGTTTCTCTTCTGATGGCTTTCCAGGGTGACGTTTAAAAGTAAATCCACTTCCTGAATTCCAATCAACCTTCTCACAGCCCACAGATGAGTGATGGAAGTCCAACAGCATTTGGCTCTAGCCAAGCTATGCAAAATGGAAAGGCCCAGGTGGGTATTTTTCAGCTTAAGCTCATAAAGGTAGAGCTCAAAGTGAAACAGGCAAGGTAACTTCCTTTTACTGCTGATGTGCTTGGGACCACATTTACTGTCTTTCCACCTGTCATCTGAGTGCTTGGGTCATGAAAATCAGTGTGGGAGGAGCCCCTTGATCACCTTTTAGCATTTAGCCAATCTCCTGCTCAAGCAAGTCCACTGAGTACAGGACTGTCACAGCTCTGTCTCCTGAGACCTCACAGTAGAGTACTCAAAAGCCAACAAGCTCCCAAGCTACTCTGCAAAGTGATGCACTTGTGAGCTCTCCCAGGCTGTCCTTGCCAGGAGTGCTCTCTGTCCCATCAGCCACGTCACTAACACATTAAACTTTATCAGCCCCAATATAGATACCTAAGGGGCATCACTGGTGATCGGTCACCAGCTGAACTCTGTACTGCTGATCCCAACTCTCTGATTGTCCACAAGCTGGACAATCATCCACCCACTTTATCACCTGCCTGCCAGTCTGTATCTTGTTGATTTAGCTACGAGGATATGTGGAAAATGGTGTTAAAGGCATTGGCAATGGTCAAGGTAATTAATGACATAAACTGCTCCCATGCTTTGAGGAGGCTGTCCTTGAAAAACAAAGAGCTCTCCTGGGTCCCTTCACTCTCCAGGGCAGCTCCCTTTGGGATCTTGCCAAGCAGATCCCTGAACAAGGTGAAATCTGCAAGGCAAGGGCGGTACTGCTATTTCTACTGCTGACTTCTTGCAGGATTTAGTATTTCACAGTTTCGTGACTGTTGCAGGCAAACTTACTTTTGACCATCATGTCCTAGACCAATTCTTCCTTTTTTATGAACAGCAAACCCAGTACAGCATCTCCCCTAGTCGTCTCATCAAACATCTGTGTCAAGAAATTGTCTTCAGCATGTTCCAGAAACCACCTGGACTGTGTCTGACCGTGCAGCCCTTCCAGTTAAAGCACACCCATGAGTCAGTCCTAAGGCCTGTGGTTGTGAGATGGCTCTGTTGACTTTCCTTGATCAAGAAGTCTGCAGTGAGTGCCTGGCAAAACACTGCCCGTGGTGCTTTGCCACCTTCTCCATGTCTACAGGCACTCACTGGCCCATTGCCTGTCCCATGGCAAAGCTCTGGACACTTCTCTGCGCCAAGCAAAACCACTCCACACCCTTTCCAGCCTGTCTTCCCTGATGAGTCTATGTTCATCTGTGCATGTGAACTATCCTGCCATGGCTCTGTAACCCAAAAGAAATCACAACTCTGCAGTTGTGCATGGGGTTGGTGATTCCCCTGCTTGTTTCCCCATGCTGTATATGTGTGTTTACAGCTACCTGAGCTGAACCCTGAGCCATGGTGCTTTCAAAACAGGCTCCTGCTGTAGAGACTCCAGTGAGGTGACCTCAGCACACAGACACCAGTGCTGAGGTGCCTCCCTGGGGGAGTTTGGAGGCCCTGGCTGCAGACCAGAACTGCCTGCACAGCCTTTGAAGGTGCATCAGTTTGCAATCTGAGCTCTCCATCACTGCTGCAGCAACTGCTCCATTAGGAGTTTTTATCTGATCACCCTGAGATCACAGATCAAACTGTGATGGGTTACTACTTCTTTTTATCTAGAACTAACTGTCCTAAGAGCGATCCCCAATGGCAGGGATGCCAGGAGCACATAGCTCTGCTGCTTTAGGAAATACTTTGACTACCTCTGTAATTGTGTTTGCATTACTGCTGCCCCAAAGGCTGGAAATTCGAGGCTCCTTGTAATACATGTGCTTTCTCCCTTTGTAGCTCAGATATATTCTACAAAAGTGAAGGTCATCATGATGACTGATAATTGCAGGTGGATAAAGATTGTTAATTGCAGAAACATAAATTATTTTCAAAGTCTCAGGTCACTGTTTCAGGCCAATTTCTGTGACAAGTGCTTCCTGTAAGGGAATGTTTGACCTAATCTGAGCTTTCTCAGCTCTGCAAACAGAAACCTGGTTGATCTGTGTTTAGGAGCTGCGTCTCCCTTGACTTGCCTGTAGTAACAAGAAGGTGACACAGATTTAAACAAACTCTTTCCAAATCGCCCCATAAGAATGCAGCAAGACTGGTTGCTTGTTGTCAACTGTGATCCCACCCTGGCTGTGGAAGAAGGCACCCAAACACCCGGACCTCACCCAGCCCTGCCTCACAGAGGGCACCGTTGGCAGGCGCTGCCACCTTCAGCAACAACCAAGAGGCCTCTGAGCTCTGGCTTCGGAGGAGGAGGAGGGATGACCCTCATCACCACTCCCCCAGGGCTGAGCTGAGTAGAGGAGGAGCTTCGGGTTCCAGCCAAGTCCCACATTCAGAGGCCAGCAACTGCAGGGAGAAAGGAGCAGGGAGACAGAGAGTGTGAGGAAGAGGAGAAAGCAAGGAGAAGGGGGCAGCTGCCTGAGGAAGGAAGAGAAGAGAAGACAGGCTACAAAATGGCATTGCTTCTGTGGCTAGCGTCCCAGATGTCATCCATCTGGAGCAACATCTCTATACTGGGAGTTTTTCTTACAGTCTTTACTTTAGCACTTGACTTCATGAAGCGCAGGAGGAAGTGGAGGCACTACCCACCAGGCCCAGTGTCGCTGCCATTCGTTGGGACTATGCTCTCTGTTGACTTCAGCAAACCCGTCCACTCTTTCAACCAGGTGAGTGGCAGCCCCTGTTGTGAGGAAAAAATGCTCCTCACACGACCATGGGCCCAGGAGGGGTGGGGTACACCCTGATATGATCTACCCTTGCACAAAGCTGGGGGGCAAGGCCCTCTCCAAGGTCCAGGATGAAGCAAGTTGCTGCCTAAGGACACTGACCTGGCCCACACAGATAAACTGATAGTCAACACTCACCAACCTCCATCTCCCCATCTCTGCATGAGCTCAGTGGGAGATGCTGTTGTGCCCTTAATGACAGGTGATGCTTGCTCTGCTGGTAGAGCTGGCCACCAGCCTAACACGTGGGCAGGTCTAGGGGCAAGGAAACAGGGAGATGTACAAACAAGCGAAGACCAAAAAGTTTGTGTGGGCTGGGAATGTGGCTGCAGGAATGGCAGACTTGGGGTGAGTTACTGAAGCATGCCTGCAGGCATGTGACAGTTTCAGTTAAAGAGATCAAGCCTGCAGGATTTGCCCCAGCAGCAATGCCCAAAATCTCCGCGGTGTTCCTATTCAAAGTCAGAGCTTAGCTTTTCTCAAAGGAAAAGCACAGCACAGCTTGCAGCAGATAAACCACGGGCGTTTTGTGCTTCAGCTTGCAAACTCTAAAGGCCGCTTTTCTAGGACAGCACTGCTCAGCTGTCTGTCCAAAACCTGCCAAATGGAGAAACTAAATATAGCATTTGTATTATTTGCTTGCATGTAGTCAGAAGCTTACCATTTTCAAATCATGTCACGTCAGGGTCATGCTAACCACAATCTTGACCAGTAATCGCTTTTAATGATGTATTTCTACTGCTGGTGACGGGCTAATTCCCTTTTCAACCCTCCTGCAAATACGGTATTAAGTACTTCAATCCTAGCAATGCTACAGCACAGGAATGAAGGCACACATCAAGAAAAAAAAACCAAAAAAAAGACAGAAAAAAAAAGAGAAAGAAAACTGTGGGGCATTGCTACTATTGCACTGCCTTTGAACAACATGCTTTGAACAACACGCACTGAGTGCTCTGCTCAGTGTTCCTGACTGGCAGGGGAGCATTGACCCGCCTTCCTGGGAGTCTATGTCCTGTCAAAGGGCTTGTCTACCTTGAGAAGACTTAACTCCATGGCCAGCTCCCATGGTGTGTGTGTGGCTGTCAGGATTACCTGTGCAGCACTGTGACTCTTACAGATCACAGCAGATGTAGGGGCTGTGCCAGTTACCAGTTATACTAGATAGGTACACTCCTTTTAGGGAGAAAGCTGACCTGAAACTCCAGTGTGGAGTTGCCTCTTCCAACCATGTTTCTGGAAAGCTATGGGGAGATCTTAGGAGTAAATGCATATTAAAAAAAAAATTTACATATTACCTTATCATCAGTATTTCCTTCAGTAGAATTAGACTAACCCAAAACTTGCCTAGCCTTTCAGATCACAATAAATACAAGTATCAGTAGATAATTAATTGTTGAGCATGCAGCCTTCCAAAATCCCCAAACAAGGTCCTTGACAAAATCCAAAATACTTGCACAATACTGGCAATAATTTGGCTGGGACAGTTGTATTCTAAATTTTTCCACTCATGGAGCATTGATCCCTGCTTTAGCTGCTGTTTGGCACCACTCTGAGCTGCTGCACTGCAAAGGCAAAGGTCAAAGATCAGCTCAAGATCTCTGAACAAAAGCACCTCAAAAATCATTAACTAGTAAAGGCCCTAAGGAAGGATGTGGTGATGTTTCTGATGTTACATTCAGCTCATTTTCGGGGACACACTTTTTTGTCTTGGCAGCTTCAGAAAAAGTTTGGAAATATCTTCAATCTCCAGAACTGCTGGACCAACCTGGTGGTACTGAGTGGGTATAAAGCAGTGAAGGAAGCTCTGGTCCACAAGGCAGAGGACTTTGCTGACCGGCCGTACTTTCCGATGTTCGAACACGTGGGCTACAGAAAGGAAGCTGAAGGCAAGTCCCTTGGAAATGGACATTTCTTGCTGGCCCTAGCACAGGAAGGATTGGGTAGATGGAAGATTTCCTCAGTATCATGCCACCTTCTCAGGTGCCCCAGCTCAATCTCCTTATACGTGTGCCACCCTTTGGAGGTGACAACGTTGTATTGATGACATGGGGCTCCCCTTAAGGGTTGTAGTACTGCTCCAGGTGCAAACACACACGTCTTCAGCAGTGTTAGCACACTATCAGGGATCTGACTTTCCTGCCAGCTCCCGACACCCAGTGATTAGTGCTTATGGTGCTTATGTAAAACAAAGTGCTTATGCAACAACAACCTGCACATTACAACACTATGTGCAAGCTGTTGTCGCAAAAAAATATGGTAACTTTCATCCAAGACAGAGAATTATCCAGTATCCTGCCCACATCTCATCCTCAGCTCCTGTGCAGTGGCCCAAGCTACTACCCAGTTCCCACAAGCCAAGGGATGCTGAATGGCTTTGGAGGGGTGATTTCTTTATCCTTAGCAGCCTTTGTTGCTTCCACTGTATCCTCCCTCCACCTTTGCTAGCTGTGCACAGGCATTAGAAGGTGCAGGAATCTGTTTTGAGAATTGCTGTATGAACAAGCTATACAAAATCAGACTCTCATCTATTCACACAGATCTGTACCTCCAAACTCACCATTGCTATTCCTTAGCAGACTTTGCTTGATGTATACGTCGGAGATCTTGACATTTCTTGCTCATCCATAATTCCAGGGATTGTTGTAGCAAGATACGGGCATGTCTGGAAGGAGCAAAGGAAATTCACGCTCACTACCTTGAGGAACTTCGGGATGGGAAAGACATCCTTGGAGGAGCGAGTGACAGAGGAAGCTGGATTTCTTTGTTCTGAAATCAAGTCTGAAGCAGGTTTGCCACATCCACAGGGATTGGGGAAATCACAGGAAAAGGCAGTATGGTCATGCAGCAAGACGTGATACTATAACCACTCTCATCTGCATGCAGTGCTCTCTTCCTGAGCAAATGCAGTGTTTCTAGTCTATATGCATTCCTTGGAGCCTCTTCTACTTTACACAGTGAGGCTACTGTAACACTAAACCATTCGAAACAGGAAACAAATATGAAATTAGAAATAAAGAGGTAAACCAGAATTATTCCCAGAGTTGGGTAACTATTACCTTCATGAAGTTAGTGGAACATACTGACATTATCACATGCAATAAAAGTGCAGCTGGGAGTTCACAGCACATCGCCTGTCATCTAGACACAAAACAAAGTGTTACCTGTCAGGTTACAGAACAATCCTGCAACTCAACTTTTCTTGGGAGTTTTCTTCTTTAAATACAGATCAACCAAATATTAGTAAGAGATGAGATGATCTTCACTTCCTAGTATGAAGCATTTGTACTTTGAGAGGGCTTTGTCTCCTGAAGGTACCAAGGCGGTGTTTGTGTATTCTCGTTGCTGCCAGCTGAGGTCCAACAGCTGAGGTGTTTCTGAGCTTCATTGCTTGGTCTCCATTTCCATTTTCAGGTCATTCTTTAGATCTACATTTTCTTATAAATAATGCAGTCTGCAACGTGATCTGCACCATCGTCTTTGGAGAGCGTTTCAACTACAGCGATGAGACATTCGTCAAGCTGTTACGCTTGCTTGAAAATTCCCTCAAGGAACAAACTGGATTCCTGCCTCAGGTAAACCAGGAGCTGTAAGAAGCTGCCCTCTGTCCCTTCAAAGCATTATGTTTTCATCATTTTTCTTTTTTGCATCACATAATACCTTCTCTTTCTTTCTCTCTCTCCCTGTTTCTCACACTCCAGCTTCTCAACGAGGTGCCCATTTTGCTGCGCATCCCTGGAGTGCCACAGAAAGTCTTTCGAGACGTAAGGGCATTCATGGACTTCATAGATGTGCTCATAGACAAGCACATGGAGTCGTGGGACCCTGATCACACCCGAGATTTCATAGATGTGTTTTTAAAGGAAATGAAGGTAGGGTGACACCAGCACACACCCTGGATCCGGGGCAGTTCTTCTGCCTGCTTAAGCTTGTTCATAGAAGCTGAATTTTCTCATAGAGCTGTATAAAACCTCTTGTCAACTAATTTCCTGCTTTTTAATTCCACACTATATCTTGAAGAGAAAAGTGTTCTTCATGCTGTAACCTTTATTGTCTGAAGAGACAATATTATCTGCTGATGTTCCTGTTCTCATTTTCTACCTTCACATTCCCATCAGAGTCTAGTAACTTCCTTTTTTCCAGCCTACACCATTTTGAAGGCTTTTAACAGGCATTGGTTGAAAATTCACTAATATTTCTAAGTTTGCACTAGGGAGCAAGTCAACATGCAAGATTCTGTGTAATGTCAGTGCCTCAATGACTGATGTCTCAAAATCAGTCAAAGAACTGCTGTAACAGACTGGCCTTTTGGTGTCATTGCCCAGTCTGTAGCCTGTCTTTAAACCAAGTTATGACTTGAAAAGACGGTATCTCTTATGGGATGTGTGTCTTTAAATTGCTTCCTAAGAACTAGTTCCCTGCAAGTCAGAGAAAGGCCTAATCTTCAGCTTCGCTGAAATTAAAAGGGGTCTTTCCTTCTATTCAGCTGGGCACAGACTCAGTATCAAATCAAAGGTTCTTGCATCAGCCCATCCATCCACCATATGCTTCTGCACGTGGAATCACTAAATTTCAAGTGCCAGAGGAGCAAAATTAGCAAATTCTGCTTGTGAATCACTTCCACCACCTGAGTCCTCAGGCTGGACTGCTGCTCTGCACAGCAAACCCTGCCATGCTGCAGGTGTCAGGCACCTCCAGCCCATGCATTGCCCCCCCAGCTTGCACTAGCAGAGCAAAATGACCTAAGTTGCCCTGCACTGAGCAGTGCTATTTGTGGGTGGACGTGAGCCTAACCGTGCTGCCTCTTGTCACATCTCTGTTCTGGTCACTAAGATGCCCTGATAAGCCAATCTGACAAATCCCTCCCCTGTGTTAACTTTGTTCAGGTCAGACCCATAGCTCCCTTGCCTGAGATCTTTTATTGGAATAACAGTTGAGTCCTAAATGCCTTATTAATTGCTATCCATATTACAACAGCATCAAAATAACACAGAATAACTTAACAGAAGCTTGTCCCTAGGAAAGGGAAGTAGAAAGAGGATTAGAAAAGACAAGCAGATGAACTCATGCAGAGAGCTTGTCATATCTCATATGCTAATAAATTTGAGCTCAATTAGCATTTGGATGAGAGACCAGTTTTGCTGAAAGTGGTGTTGCAGACTTAATAGGCAGCAATAATGCCCTGATTGCTTTTGTTCAGCTGTAAGAAAATATCAGGGCAGAAGCAGTGAGAATCTGTACTGCATAGCTAGAGATAACCCCCTTAAAATAATGTTAATTTTTCATTTGCCACATCAGTGCAGCCTCCTCTCTGCTGCATGGGGTTTACGATCTGATCAAACCTGAATAACTGTGTTCCACCTTCCCTGGGAGAGGATGTTACTGCAAGTGGCAGAGGCCTGCTGGCCGTTTGAGCTGAGAGCACAAGGCATTCACTTCTGTCCTGAAGGCAACTGTAGTGTTCATCTCTCAGGATTAATGCAGGTGGTCGAGGACCTTCCAACACAGGAGGTAACAGGGTTACAAAGTACTTCTCTGGAGAAGGGTCTCCTCACCCAGCAAATATCCCAGCTCTGATCACTCGTTTCTCTCCACAGGGTAAGGCAGCTGAAGAGAATGGTTTCCACTATAGCAACCTTCGTATGGTGGCCGCAGACTTGTTTGTAGCTGGTTCTGAGACCACCTCCACCACTCTCCGGTGGGCATTGCTGTATATGCTTCTCCACCCAGAAATACAGAGTAAGTCAGAAACAGGCAGAGGTGTGGCCTCTTCCCTTCAGCCCTCATTATTCTGCAAGGAGGCTGCATGACTTCTCTCCATGGTTTGGGCATTTTGCAATGAGGAACAGCTTTGGTGATTGTTCACCTAGCAGAAACTGGGAGAAACACTTCCCAAACAGCTGATCTGGCAAGAGGGAAGACTGGAGTTGGAAGGGCAAGTTTGGCCTTGCCTTCATTGTGAAGGCTACCTGGGGACTTGTAGTGGTCAGTGTACCCTCTTTTCAGCATTTGGAATAAATGCTGATTTGTTTACATTTTCTAATGCTGCATGCCCAGGTACCCTTTCAGCTGCACAGAGGAGGGGTAAGGTAGCATGTCAAGTGGCAAGACCTTTATGAAAGATACTATGAGCAAAGTGTAGTTATACAGATGGCACTGAGCAACTGAAAAATGTCTTCCCATCTAGTTTCTGTTCCTTTCTCTAACTGCTTGTTCTGCACTCACCCAGTGTGTACAGTCTCATGCTGCCAGTCTTCCTTCAGCTTGTGCAAGCCCCTGCTGTTTATGTACGGGTGATCTAATTCCTTATCTGTTCTGCCTTCAGGTAAGGTCCAAGCCGAGATTGATAAGGTGATTGGCAGAGAGAGACGACCCACCATGAAGGACCAAGTGAACATGCCTTACACTAATGCTGTGATCCATGAGGTGCAACGCTTTGGGGATATTCTTCCTGTGGGACTACCCCACATGACGTACCGGGACACTGAGCTGCAAGGCTTCTTCATTCCCAAGGTGACCGAGACCAGATAAGCAGTACAGCATCCTCTCCTTGTGCTGACACCTGGCACAGGGTGGGGGTGATCCCACGCAACTCTGCAGTGTTGCACCTTCACCCCCAAATTACAGTCACTGGCGAGCACTAAAATAGGACATCTTGAAACTCTAAACCGGGCAGATGGTCATATTTGTGCTCTGGGTTTGCATTGGTTGTGTGGGAACCCAACTGCAGTGGCAGCTCAGTGCAAAGGTTTCCTTTCCTCTTGATGAGCTGTGACATTCACTGTCTGTGTCAGAAGGAGCCTACTAGGCTCTCTGGAGGCACACACCACCAGCTCAGTGCCTTTCCTCAGATGGTAGTAGTTAAAATTCTACCCTCTGAAGCTATTCAAATGCCACTGGCATTCAGTCCACTTCTGCTGTGACAGGCAGCTGCCCTGGCAGCAGTGCAAGCCTGGGATTTATATTTTTTTTGTAGCCTTGCGGTATCTCCTCTGGCTCAGAACGTTGACATGTGAAACAGGAAAGCTTTGCGATTTTCCACGGCCCCTGTGAAAGTCGAGCTTTGAAGTCTGTCAGTCAGCTTTTCCTCTGCAGCTATAAAACAAGTCCAGGAGGATCTGAGAAGCAGAGGCTGTTTCCACTGTGTAACCGTGAAATTGGCATTTGCATGCGGCTGCCTTTGTAAGGATACAAATTGCAAAAGTTCAGATGCTTCAGAGTGTAGGGCAGGCACCATATGTCATTGGAAAAGTGCCCTGCTTCACCCCTGCTCTAAGTAAGGTGCAGAAGTGGAGATGGGTGCCTTATGCTGAGGCACTGAACAATGGTTGCTATTATATAGGAGACATGGACTAAAGAGGGACCAGCTCTGATCCATTGTGCCAAGATAATGCTGCTGTTCTCACTTAAGTTGTTTCCTCTTGTGGAGGAATGCAGGGGACGACAGTCATTACGAACTTGTCTTCCGTGCTGAAGGATGAGACAGTCTGGAAGAAGCCAAATGAATTTTACCCTGAACACTTCCTGGATGCGGATGGGAAGTTTGTGAAACCAGAAGCCTTTCTGCCTTTCTCAGCAGGTAAGTCTCAGGGGAGGATTCATCTGCAAGTCAGAGGCACAGCAGGAGGGTGATCTGCTTCCCCTGCTGCGATACCAGCATGGTTTAATACCTTCTTTGATGGAAGTTTTCTACTCCCTCTCTTGCAGGTCGCCGTGTTTGTCTAGGAGAACAGCTGGCCAAGATGGAGCTCTTCCTTTTCTTTACCACTCTCCTGCAGAAGTTCACCTTCGTGCTCCCTGAGGACCAGCCCAGGCCACGAGAGGATGGTTGCTTTGCTTTCACCAGCTCCCCACACCCATACCTGGTGCGAGCTGTCCCAAGATAAGTGCACACCGAGACCACCAATCAACACAGTCTGTCAGAGACCTTGCAGATCTAGGCAGGATCATGCTGGGTTCCACTTAAGACCTCTCAAGTCTTGTGCAGACATCCAACAGGTCTGTAAAGTAAGGATCTAGCCCAATATCTCATTTAGCTTAATTCAAGTTCTGGATCTTGAACCAGACAGCCATAGGAAATTAGGAATGGTAATCAAGTTTGTAAATACTTTTTGCCTAATCCAACCAGTTCCACTGCACTTTGTGGTCTCACTGGTTGCAGAAGAAGTTCACTGAACACACAGCTACTAAAAGAATTATTAGCCCTGAATTAGTTTACAGAAATACAAGGATATCTTGGGTAAAAGACAAGCTTGGGGTCTTGCTAATTCAGGATGCAAAAACAACTTGGAAAAATCTGTAAGGTTCTCCTGTTAGCCGCAGTGCATATCCAGCCATGCTCTGCCTCTCATGCTGAGCAGCAGTGTGTGCCCCTGCCTGGTGCCCAGGGCAGCCCAGCTCTGGCTTGGTTCCTGAACAAACAATCCAGGGATGGTCAGCTGATTTGGCAAGTGCTGCTGGTGAGCAGGGCGAGAGCTTCAGCCCCAACAACAAGGTGACATTTAAATGCAGTTTCAGAGCAGTGCTCCTGAGAAATCTTACCGTCCAATACACACACGTCCCCCTCGTTCCCGTTTATTACATACTCCTGCCTATTGCACAGACTGTCTTCATTTATAGCCACAAAGAAAGTTGCAATCCTGACAACTCCTGTGTCTCTAGTAGGAGTCAATACCAAGGGGAACATAAATAATCCATGTGGAGTCTCAGCCACAGAAACAGGTGACTTGCAAAATACAGAAATGTCTATAAATACATTCCAAGAGATATCCTGGCATTTAGATTTACCATCTCCTCTAATTAGGTCCAGAAGACTGGGGTTATTTTTTGGTGTTACATAAAGTCATCTCTTGGGCAGGTTGGAAACTGTAGGGCCATAGGTTTCAGAGGTGCCTTTCTTTCTTCCTGCAATATTCCTGACAGATTGTTTTGCCTGGTGTTAAGACATGTTGATGTTTAGGTTAGTAGGTGCTGTCTTTAACCACATGGCTGAAAAGACCATAGCATAAAGGAGCTTCTACTACAACCATCACTAACAAAAATAAGTACTTGAAATGGAGTGCACGTGTGGGCACATTCGTAACTACCTTTCTAACAGTAATTCTGGAAACTGTGAGAGCTATTGAATTATGCAAACACTGATTAATATAGTTGTTAAGGTTTGT